AAGAAAAATTCCTCCATTTAGCCTACTTCCGTTAACAACTAACGGAATCTAACGGAGATCTAACGGCCGGGTACTAACGTTGCTAACAGAATGAAAGTTTGGGTACTGATTTTGCAAATGTTAAAAAACGAGTACTGATTTTGAAATGAACTTTAATTTGGGTATCAAAACTGCAATTTACTCATTATTTAACGAGCATTTTTAATTTACTAATACTAATGATTATATCTCACCCGTGCATCGCACGAGATCTATACTAGTATATATAAAAAGATTTGGCATTTACCTGAAAAAGTAACTAAAATTACGCCTAAAATTTCAAAACTTACGAATCTTGCTAATTTTTTTTTTCAGAAGTTTTGAAAAATCCCGTCATTAATTCATTAACTTCGATTTTTAAAATTGTTTTGAATTCATTTTATGGTAAATTTCATTAATTATGGGAACAAAATTGATTATGTTTCAATATAAAAAAATATATTCCCTAATTAGGTGATTCAGCCGCACATTCCAAATTTAGAATTATAAATTGCAATTAGCCTATAATATTTTTTTTTTTCATTTACGGGATTTAGTAATTGAGGTAATCTTTATATTTTAAATTGAAATATTTAAGCATGCGTGTAATTATCCACATAGCATATTTGTGTTTCATGTAAACTCCTTATTATGAGCAACTATTTATAAAAAATTATCATCAAGATTAATTCAAATTAAAATCGGTTAAAATTAAAATTGATTCCAAACATACACGATAGAATATAATTATAATTGGTTCAAATTAAAATTGATAATTTAAAATATATTGTTTTTCATAATTAACCTATATCACAACAATATCTATTACTATATAATATCAATGAGAAAAAAAAAATAGCATTACAGTTTCCTACTCAAATTTTTATTTTTTTACTAATAATAGAAATGTTTTTTTTTTTTTTTTTTTTTAAATTTTTCGGATTCTCCCTCCCATCACATGCTTTCAAATTCAAAATTAATTCCACCAAATCACTATATATCTGGTCAATGTCCTAAATCTATATATCCAGTTAAAACCATAAATTTATTATATATGTTTGAAAATTTGTGTATTTTAAAAATTAAAAATGAAAAAATACTTAAAATATTCTATATATATCAGGTCAAATAATATTATATTGAAAAGCATCCTATATAATAATTGATTCGACAAAATATTAGAATTCTTAATAATTATAATTATTATATTTTTTTTAAAATTAAGATTTTCAAATTAAAGAAATTCTTATTACATGTACAATAAATAAAAAAAATTTACCTTTTAAGAATTCTATCTATAGTTAACAATCTAATCTTCTTATTTATCTACAACTTACTTAAACCAATTCAAAATATTAAATTCCTCAATCATCAAAATATTATTTTTTAAATTATAATTCTCAAATTAAAGAATTTCTTATTACATGTGCAATAAATAAAACAAAAATTGTTTGAGAAAATATTAAAAAAACAGTTTACACTATCTCTCAAAATTTATTGTCCTTATTTATAATACAAACTTAATTTATCTCATCAACTTATTTTGGAAAATATTTGTAATCAATTACATAATATAAAAAATTCCAAAAACATGGGGATCTCTTAAGAATTCAATCTCCTTATTTTTATCTTACAACTTACTTAACAAACCACACATTTTTTCAATAAAAAAATTCTAATCATCGATCACTACGAATTTGTCAATCAATTTTGAAGCTTTAATAATATCTTCATAGATGACAACGAATTTTAAAGATTATACTAACAATATCACATTGTTTTTTCAAGTAATATTAAATTAATCAATTACTATATAATCGAGAAAGAGAGATATTTACTTGAAATGACATTAAAATTCCCGCTTAAAATTTTTAAAATAACTATTTTTAGTTTTTTTTTTCTTTGGAAAATGGCGACTCGATGAAAGTTTGAATTTAAATTTTTTTAAAAAAAATGTTATTTTGATAAAGATATGTAAACCTTAATTCCTAAAAATATGGACAATTATTTTCAACGGGTAAGTCTGACCAATAATGAGAAATAATATTAGAAAATTTTGCTTCTAAAATGTCTGATCATCCATTTTTTTAATTTTTTTCGGTCAAATGTGTAAATTTGGTTACAAAAATTCGATCAATCATTAGCGAATAAAACGTTTGAAATGTTCTGAAAACTTTTGAAAAGTCATGCCAATTTAATTTTAAATATTATTTTATCTATATTTATCCATCTACAAATCTCATATTTTATAATCACAACTAAAAATTTGTAATTATTTAATAAACAATGTTAATTTCAGAAATTATTATTTTTTATTCAAATAGTTCAAATTAATTGATCATATTTTTGTTCATATTATTTAACTACAAAATATTTCAAAGTTTAGAAAGAATCTAATATTATGTGGGTTCTTGGTACATATTTTTTTTTTACATATCTATTTTTCATCTCATATTCAAATTACAAAATTTAATGCTAATCTTAAATGTCACATATTTATAATATATATATATATAGATATATTCGAAAAGCATGATGATCATATAATTAATTTTATCATACATCATGTGTTGATCATGTGTTGGATGTTATTGGTTTGGTTGCGGACACTCATTATATTTAAATAAATAAAGTATAATTTTTCATCTTTTGTAGATCGTTTCTTACAATAATCCCCCCTATATATTAATTCAGAACGTGCTGAGCCTAGGTAGCAGGCTCGCATGCTTCGAGATCTTATCTGGCAACATTACATGCTTCCTTATTAGGTCTTGATAGATTTAAATTTACTTCCAATCCAAAAATAATTAAGTTCGAATTATCCATAAATTCCCCCTATATATTAATCCAGAACGCGCTGAGCCTACGTGACTGCTTCTGGTGTGTTGATAACCGATTTAGCCCAGAATGAACCGGAGCCGACCTCTCAGGACCCGAGCTGAAGACCCCGGTCTAACACTGGGGTGCCGAGCTGAACTGAAGATTAAAGACATGCAGAATCGCCGTGAGAACGTTTCCCTAGACCGGCACCTGGCTCAGTCCGAACAGAAGCCGACCTGGGTGGGTGCCGGGCAGGAAGAAGGCAACTGGCCGTCTCGCAAGCACGTTCGAGTAAGATGCCGACCTGAAGATCCGGGGTGGCCGACCAGAGGGAAAGGGCGGGGCTCGACGAGCATTAAAATATTCTCACTTGGAAAGCCATCATTGGATGATGGGACAGGTTATCATGGCCTAGCGCCCTACCAGCAAACCTAGTCAATAAAGCCTACCAACATTAAATGCCCCCCCATGCTGGCATTTAATGTCTGACAAGCAATGATTGAAGAAACCTCAAATCGCATTAAATGCATGTCAGAGGGACGCCGAACTGCTCTACAAGGCCGTTGTGCGACAAGACCGGTGAACAGTAGCTGAACAGTATCGCATTAAAGACTACTATAAATAGCAGCTCATTTCATTTATTTTGGGTTGTTGAATCTCAACTAACTCTGCCTTCTCTCTACTTTCTCTCTCTAAAACTGTAAGAAACTCATTGTAAGAATTGTAAGTATATCGCAAGTGTCGACCTCGTACGAGAGGCCGACCTCGTGATCGCCTAATAAGACTGTAATTAAATCAAATCTTCTTTCGTTCTCAATCTTCCGCTTTCAATATCTATCATTTTAACCGTTGACCGAAAACGCTCGTCAACATGGTGCTTCGGAATCCTAAGTGGTAAAATTACATGCTTCGTTATTAGGCTTGGGTAAATCTTAATTTAATTCCAAACCAAAAATAATTAGGTTCGGATTACCATAAATATATTGATTATTTATGATCATGTTACATGTATTAATTGCATTTTAATATTATTTCTTATTATAACTACTGAATTGTATATATATTTTAAAAGTAAATAACTTTTGTATTTTTTATTAGTTTTACATATGTAATATATCAAATTAATCTTCTTTTGATGAACTTCGATTTAACATCCATATTGTATGTATAAAAAAAATAATTTATATTTATCTTTATAACAATAATAAAATTTTTTTTAATATTAATTACAAAAATAAAATTATTTATCAACTAATATATTTATATTTCAAGTAGTTATATGATATAAGTTATAAAAACTAATATAATATAACACATGTAAGTCATAAGTAACACATATCATTCTAAAATATATAGTAATATATTTTTTTTGTAAAAAAGTAAACTAAATTTAATATAGTTTTCTCATTAATTTTAAAATTTAAGAATAATTTTTTAACAAGCACCCGTGTAATACACGGGTGTTGTACTAGTATATTGATTAGTTATGATTATGTACAGTATTAATTGCATTTTAATATCATTTCTTATCATAACCACTGAATTCTAAATGTATTTTAAAATTTAATAACTTTTGTATTTTTTATCAGTTTTACATATATAATATATCAAATTAATCATCTCAGTGAGTTTCGATTTAACATCCATATTATATGCATAAAAAATAAATTATATTTATCTTTATAACAATAATAAAATTATTTTTTAATATTAATTAGAAAGATGGAATTATTTATCAATTAATATATAACACGTGTAAGTCACACAAGTAGCAAACGTCATTCGTTTAAAATATACAATAATATATATTTTTTCTAAAAAGTAAATAATATAAAATAATTTTTCTCATTAATTTTAAAATTTAATAATATTTTTTTATCAAGCTCCCGTGTAATACACGGGTGTTGTAATAGTGAGATATTAAACATAAATAATTATGTTTAACATAAGTTTTAGAAAAGGTCTTAAGTAAAAAGATAATCTGTGCATCGCACGCGATACGCACTAGTAAATAAATAAATAAATAAATAGTACTTTACCTTCTATGTGGTAAGGAGGAGGGAAAAACTGCAGATAACAAAATGTAGCTACAGTAAGACCTGAAATGGCAGACATGTGTTAAATATGATTAGAGACTGATTAATTATCAATTAATCCACTAGTTGATTAATTAATTTTTTGAATCATATCCAAATGAGTAACACACACACACACACCTAAAAGACCACCGGCAAAAACATCTTGCCAGTGATGCCAATAGTCATCCACACGAGATATACCGACGAGGCAAGCAGCAAGGATCGGAAAAAATATGATGCATAATTTCGACACGTGCCCACGTCGATCAAAGCACTTAATTTTTCCTGACAAGTACAATGCTAGAAAACCGAGACCTGCAAATGACCCTGCATAAGGAAAAAAAAGAGCACGAAATTTATCGAAAAATGTTTTTACTACAAGAATTATATCACAAAAGGAACATGACTTGAAGCAAGAAAATGTGCTTACATGAAGTGTGACCACTTGGAAAACTCTTGTGCCCTTCTCTTACCTCACTGTCTTTACCATGACATATCACGTTGCCTAACGCATCATAAGCCTGACCAAAACAAAAAAATAATAAAAATTCGAAGTTAAAAATATAGTAGGATAGAGTAGTAAAGCAAAATTTTAAAAAAGGAAGAAAAAAATCAATTATCTAAGTTAATGTATATGTATCACCCATTAAATGGAACTAAGAAAATGCAAAATAAAAACAAATGAAGTATGCAAAATCATCCACACATTTTACACATTTTTTTTTTGTTTTGATAAAAATAACTCACACGCATTAGGGGAAAAAATATAAGAATGTCTAAAAGAATTAGAATCGGCATATACATCTCGTCCATCAGGAAAGCAACGCCAGAAAAAGTTGGGTCGTGGCCGGCCAGTGGCGTTTTTTATTGAATCTGTTAGAACTCCAGTTATGAGCACAGCAAACAAGAGCCCTGCATTTTAGTAGCATTCACATCATGAACTTTGCATACTTGTTTACCCCCAAAATAAAAAAAAAAAAAAAAATAATAATAATAATATTCTTGCATTAAATTAGTATAACACAAGAAACTCAAATAAGAAGAGTCTATAAGGTATTACCTAAGATAGCATGATGAAGATCGTAAACATCTCGCCTTCTAAGGTAATATAGGACAAAAATAGCAATGGGCAACAAAATTGCATACATCTGATCATGTGAAAGCCATACTATCAGCAATATGTCATCAATAACAACCACAAACAACATAATGGCAAAAAAAAGGGTTATCTTTGCTAATAACAAATCAAATAGCAAACATAAAGTCTCGAGCGATTGAGAAAACTCACAGGAACTGCCCATACTGGCACGGTGTTATCTTTCATGGGATATCTAAGATCGGTCATCATGTCGCGCCCCACAAACCGATAAAACGGGTGCATGATATTCAGAATGATCTCTATAACAACAAGCAATATTAATATCAGCCAGTCGTGCTTGTGACTCTTTGCCACACGTCCTCCGTGAGACTTTATTGTGTGTTGGCAACCGAGTTCGACCTCGTTTTGTTGAACCTGCTTATTAGAATGAGTAAAACAGGCGAAAACCACATGAGTTTTAAACTTTGCAGATGTCAATGCAAAAAAGATCTGAGAATAACAGATAGGGAGGAGATGAATACAAAATCACAATAGAATGAAGATGTTGGCAAAGTGAAAAATAAAATTTTGATGCTTCAGAAAGGTAAGGTGATTGATAATGGCTTCTTTTAAGTCAATTCAGGAAAAGCCCATTTTACATATTTGAGCCAGTTCAGTATTTAAGGGCACTTTAAGTAATCTATATAATACAAACTGGCCAGATGAGATAAATTCTTTCACACTAATCCCTGCTACTTTACACCAAAATCAACACAAAACCCACAACTACAAAGGGAATAATTGAATCTTTTCTAAAAAGTTCAAATATTTAAAGTTTAAACAGATAGCATTTGTGTCAAACGGGTTTCTTATTAGGAGAAATGTTACAGTCCCGTTACAGAACCATTAAGTCGGGATTTGTAACCGTTAGATCATCATGTAACCGTCGTGGATAGTTGATCTAACGTGTTCCGTAAAATCATAAAAGGCAAAAAGGGTCAGGAAATGTTTACAAACCTGAAACATTTTCCAGAAAAACAGCATATTTGTCCAACCCATCTGCACACAAATCAAGTCGATGCCTAAATCGCCCGTAGAACCTACAATAAAACCAGATCGCCACAAAAAGTAGAAAAATAAAATAAAATGAGATTTTCGGTTCTTGTTGGGACTAAAACATTAGATATACAGTTCGATCATCCACACGAATCAGTAATAAATACAAAAGAAGCGTAAAGATTGAAGACCCATAACAGGGAAAATAAAATCAACTTAAAGACAAAGGCAAATGTGGATAATACCTTGAATTCTTGGATTTGTTCTTAAGGCTGGCGAAAATCAAAGGAGCCCTAACGAAGCCTCGCTATATTTTTCGATAATTATGCAAAGCTCTAGCAGTTTTTTTTTTTCACGCCAAGCAAAAGGTGGGGTTATTGCTTATATTGGGGGGTTTTGCGAATTGTGGGGGGGAAGAAGAAGAAGGGGTGAGAATGGGAAAATTGAAGAACTTAAGGGGCGCCACTGAAATTTTCAAATAATATCGCTAAAGGTAGTTTGCATTCAGTTTGAATTTTGAATAAGTGAATATATGATAAATAAAGAAAGGTACGTATATATAAAAACCATTATTTAAGTATTGACATTTGTTTTTTTGAATTTGGAGTTTATTTCGTAGTGATCGGGTCAAACGCGCGATATCAGCCGTTGGATTCCTCGATATTTCTTTGCACGCGGCGAGATGGTCTGACTTTTTCGTTGTTTGTTTAATTTGTGTGTTATTTATGTTTTTTTTTTATTTTTTTTTTATATGAAAATGGCTGCTTCCATATTAAGTTTTAATGCATCTAGAAGTTATATTATTACGACAGTTTGCTATAGAGTCATTGGATAGTTCGTCTTATGGAGCCATCAATATTCATCCTTAAATAGTGAATTGATATGTGTTCTATAATAAATACACTTTGGACATGTGTCAATACATTAAGCGATGGATGACTTTATTAGAAAATCATCCGATGTTTCCATAGAATTTTCGATTATTTCGGTACAATTTTGACTGTTAGAATATCACTTGTGAGTTATCCCACATCGTTCATATGGAAAATAGACTTACCTTATAAGTCTAATGGGCTACTCCTCCTTCCACCAATTGGTTTTGGGATGGAACTCCACTTGGGCTTCATATGGGCTTTTCCCTCTCATGGTGCGTTTCATGTTAGAGGGACCGCAACCCTTTTCCCCAGTTTCTTACATGGTATCAGAGCCGGTTCTATTGGGACCCTGTGATGACGTACCCGTTTATGGAAGTCTGCTTTCCCACGTACCCGTTTATGGGAGTCTACTTCTAGTAGGCTTGGGGCACCCAGTTGGGCTTGGGCTTCTCGCATATGTTTATGGGAGTCTGCTTCCCCACGTACCCGTTTATGGTAGTCTACTTCTAGTAGGCTTGGGGCACCAAATTGGGCTTGGGCTTCCGAAGGACTCACAAGTGAGGGGGCGTGTTAGAATATCACTTGTGAGTTGTCCCACATCGTTCATACATGGAAAATAGACTCACCTTATAAGTCTAATGGGCTACTCCTCCTTCTACCAATTGGTTTTGGGCTGGAACTCCACTTGGGCTTCATATGAGCTTTTCCCTCTCATGGTGCGCTTCATTTTAGTAGGGGGTGCTAATACTCTAACCACCTCGTATAAATTTCAAGTACGCAAAGATTGGGCCGAGTCCAAAAGAAAGTTCCTATATTGGATGGGCCATTCCCTAAAATTTCGAAATAATGACACCCCTTATCCTTTGCTACAAATTGTTTACATTAAAAAACTGATTATTATTTAGTCAATATTGCCCAATGTGTTTTCACTAATACTCTCTTTTGTAGAATAACTTGACTCTAATAACCGTTTTCACAATTTTTTCTTGGGATCTTCTACAGTCAGGTCATGGTTGTACCTATCTAACATCAGGTAAC